GTGTGACACAACTTGAATTTAATTTTGAAATTGGGGTGGGATGTTTGAATATATAGTTCCAGACATCAACTTCTATATATATATCGTTTTTTTTTTCTTTTGTAGATAAGCTGCTGATGTTAAATAAAACAAAAAACTACAATTTATTTTAAGGAAAAGTATTTGTCCTTTTATATATGACACAACTTATATTTTTTCACTCCCACAATGAGGTGGGACTCACACATTTATATTTTTTGTCCACTCTGTCTTCTTATTTATCTATCTCTTTCTCTCACTTAAAATGACACAATTTTACATCCTTTAAAATGATACATATTTTTTCCTTTAAAAAACAATTCGCTCAGCATTTATAGGGAAAAAAAGTAGGTAATTGGATATTAAAATAACATGAAGTGTATAGAAAATGAATAAAGAAAAAGGAATTGTGTTTAGAAAATAGAAAAGGAAAGTTTGCTTCCCTACCTCAACTTGTTTCTTCTTCCAATGCATGTGTAATAATAAAGTAGGAAAATACATATATCATGTTGTAGGAAATTAGTTGTGTCATGTTATAGACATAACCAATGTGGACCTCGTCACTTTCTTTTCTCTTCTTTTTATTTTAAAAATGGTGGAGTCCACATTAGTTGTGTCTATAACATGACTACTAATTTCCTACAACATATACATCTATTTCCCAATAAAGTAATAAAGAAAATACATTGATAGGGCATATAAAAAGCAAGAAAATAGTGGTCGGATTATTGACAATAAAAAAGTAGCGCTCCTCTTCATTTTCATATCGTGACACATCATTAAATGAACTTGACATGCATGAAGCATCTCATGTATTGTCAAATTTATTAAACAATTTGAATAATCAAAATTGATCTAATAGTAAGGGATTTGGATAATTTATATAAAGTCAAATGTTTAATTAAACATTAGTGCTCCTATTATATCCACACACAAAAATTATTAAACAATTTGACAATTTATTATTAGATAGATGACAATATAAAATTTTGGCTAAATTACATAAAACCTCCCGCTGTTTAGGTGGTGTTTCAAAAACCACTCAATACTTTAAATTGAAACAATTAACCACCTCAAATTATAAAATTATAACAATTACACTTATCTTATAATTTTATGACAAAAATATCCCTTTTTTCAACCTATCATCGGTCACTTTATTGTTAGCCACGTACTTTATTTTTGTTCTAAGATAAACCTTCTTCATTGTTGATTTTTTTTTCAAGAATGATGTACATCACATAACTTTAGCATATTACAAGTTTAATTTTTCTTATCTTTTGCTTTACATTTTTTTCTTCTTAATATTTTCTTAGAGAGTTGCAAAGGCGAAAGGGTGATTGGGGAATGGAGATAGAAGCTGTTGCTAGGAAGTGAAAGAATCGGGGAAAAGTTTAGAGAAGAGGGAGATGGTTAGCAGGTGTTCACAATAGTTGACGGTGGGTTGTAGACAAGTTTCTCTTATAAACAAAAATGAAGTATGATGGCTGAAAATAGAGTGACAAGTGTGGTAGGTTAGAGAAGAGGGGTATTTTTGTCTTAAAATTATCAAATATGTTTAATTGTTACTTATAATTTGAGATGGTTAATTGTTTTTTTTTTTTTTTGGTGAAAAGATGGTTAATTGTTTTAATTCAAAGCATAAGGTGATTTTTTGAAACAGTACCTAAATAGAGAGTGGTTTTATGTTATTTAGCCTAAATTTTTTTTACATCATGATAATGAATCTCGTACACACAGCGACACTACAGTTTTGTGACAAATTATTAATGTGCAAAATAAAATAAAATTTATTTAGGTTTTTTTCTTTATTTATAATCTAAAGTTACAATAAGAATTTAAATATTTTTTTGGTTCAAATAACATACTAATAATGTTAAAAAAAGTTAAAATTTGTTGATGGAAGTGAGTTTTAAATTACTACACTGGTGTTAAAGGTATTATTATTATTATTATTATTATTTTTTTTGGTGAACAAAGGTATTATTTTTTATTATTTAACCAAATAAAATTTATCAATAATAAGTTTTTTAAACATAATAAGCTTCACAATTGTTTTTAAATTTAAGTAAAATCTAAAAAGTTAAAATTAAAAGAAAGTACTTAAGACATTTTTTTAAAAAAATTACAAAGGAGGTTGTATAAGTAATTCAAGTAGAATTTCAAAATATAAATTAAAAGAGAAAAATATGTTAAATTATAAAAAAGATACACTCAAATAATTTAAGAAAAATTAAAATTAAAATTTAAAAAAGGAAATTAAGAATGATATTTATCATTCTTTAATGGGAAAACTTCAAAAAAAAATTCTGTAAGTTTCTGCGAAATCACTTATTTTCTCCCCGAATTTTTTAATCATTTATCTCTTACTTAATTTTTTTTTATCATTTACCCCTTACTTAAATTTTTTTTATTATTTACCCCTTTAACTTGATTTTCCATCCAAAATTATAGTTAATAGTGTTAATTTTTTTATAAAATACCAAAACAACCCTTTAATTTAAAAACAAACAACACGTTGATTTTGTTTGTTGTCAATTAGGCTTCTGTTTGTCAATCTATTTTAATTACTTTTTTATCATCTAGAAAGCTTTTGCATCATATTTTAAATCTTTGTTTACTGCAGGTGTTGTTTCATTCTACAAGAACTTTGTCATTCTAGCAAGCTATTTTTGTTACTACAATGCAAGGTAAAAAAACTTCAATATAGAAAGATCTTTTGTGCAAACTCTACAGTTGGCTTCGTCCAACCTGATAAGGGTAGGGTTGGCAAAAACGAGCCAACCCGTCGGGTTGTCTCGTAACCCGTCAAAAATGAGTCGGGTTAGGTTGGCAAAAATGAGCTGCCAACCAGACCCGAGCCAACTCGTGAAAAAACGAGCCAACTCGCGAGTTAAGTTTTTTTTTTATGTAAAAAATACAAAATATAATATATAAAAATGAACAAAACTCACACATCTGTCATCATTTTTCTTCCTTCTCTAAACCTAAGTCTCTAATCTTCTCACATCCTGCCATTTTTATATTGTTAGGTTGTGTTGGCTCTGTTTGGTTCAAATATCTTACCCACTTGATAGCAAGTGATTCTGATTATTTCTTGATGTTGATGCAAATTTGTAAGAAAATTCGAAACTAAAATATTTTGCTTTTATTTCTCATTTTGTAACCCTTTGTTTAAGCTGATGGAAGCCACATAGCTTGTACATTAATACTACAGGGTCATTTAAATAAGCTGAAAACGAGCCAACCCGTGAGCAATTTTCGAGCCCACTAGCGAGCTATTTTTTCAAGCTAACTCACGAGCCATATTTTTGAGCCAACCCTAACTCGACTCGGGTCGGGTTGGGTTTTCTGGCTCGTTTTTTTTTTCGAGTCAACCCTAACCCGGCTCGTTTTTTCGAGTTGAATGCGGGTTGGGTCGGGTCGGGCCAGGTTGGCCCTTTTTGCCAACCCTAGATAAGGGTTTGACTATGAAGGTTTTGAACTTCGACAACACTTTTTAATGAAACAGTAAGAAATTTTTATGAAAGGATTGAGAAAAAAATTAGAATAATATTATAGTGGATTGATGCTTTAAAAAATTCTTTATGCCTAATTAGAATAATATTATATACAAAATTTTCCAAACCTGAAACAAAATAAAGTTAGGGTTTCGATTGACAAACCTGAAATTGCTCAAACGCTGTGTGCACCGGTGGATAGAGATTCAGTCAAATGACTTCGTGTGTGTAGAGACAAGGATAAGCTAAACCGATGTAGGTGTGAAGCTCAAAGATTGTGGATATCTGCAACTGGTGTAACAGAGGCGTAACTGATGACAAAGAGAGGATATGACCACAGCTCTCAACACATAAACACCGACAACGCTTTTTTTTTAATAATTAAAGGGTAGTTTTGGTATTTTATAAAACAATTAACACTGTTAACTGCAATTTTGAATGGAAAATCAAGTTAGGAGGATAAATGATAAAAAAACTTTAGGTAAAGGATAAATGATTACAAATTTTGAGAAGGGAGATAAGTGATTATGAAGAAACTTGTAGGATTTTTTTTTTTAAGTTTTCCCTTCTTTAAAAGAGAGTAGAATAGGATATTAAACTAGTATTAATTAATAGAAAATATATTAATTTAATATATAAATATGGATATGAAAAAATCTTTTAATAATTAAGTAATATATTATAGAACTTGACTCTATCACGGAGTGAGAAGGTTAGGTGATGAGAAACAAAATGCAGAAGAATATGCCTTTTACATGGTAGTTTCACAGTTTATTCAGTACTGCATCAATAATGCTAACTAATATCTGCATTGTAATATTCACCTCTCATTCGTCATTCCCTTGGTTGGCAATTACGATGATTTGTCAATTTTGAAATGCTAATTGATGTTAGGCTTACATAATAAATTAGGGGTTTGCATCTATCATGTCATATGACATAAAAAAAATTTCTACACACACAATATTTTGTGAAACTCGCATTTTTTAAAGCAAAAAAAAAAAAAAAACTAAAAGTCTAAGAAACATAAAACGAATCTCTATAACATTACACAATCATTTTTTCTACCACATAACTCTTATAAAATCCAATAAATTATCAAAGAATTGTCGCATTCGATGCATGTTGCCTTGTCTCCACGCTAAAGGAAAAGATATCGACATAATTTATATGAAGTATGTGCATAATTTGTACTAATTAGAAAAATAAAAAATATCACCAATTACTTAGTCAACTGGTAAAAGATTATTTTAACTTAATTACTGATCTCGAGTTGGAGTCTATGTGAATATAATTGTATTAAAATTTAATACAGAGATGGTCCTGCCCGGCTTGAATATTAGATGAATAATTAACATTTTGCTGGACCACTACATCGATTGCATCGCCAGTGTAAGCATGATGGTTAAACATTTAAACTGCTATATAAAACCAACACTAGAAGAAGCATGAGAATGGTGAATTAATTGAAAAGTGTTCGAGATGGGAAAGTCAAATTCTCCTTTGGGTTTTTTTGTTGTTTGCATAACCTTAATTCAATTCATTGCTTCAATGAGTTTCAGCACATCCCAGAGTCTCATAAATGAGACTAGGACTACAACTAAAGCCTTTTTCATCTTTGGCGATTCCACTGTAGATTCTGGCAACAATAACTACATAGATACTATTCCCGAGAACAAAGCAGATTACAAACCATATGGACAAAATGGTTTTTTACAAGAACCCACAGGAAGATTCTCAGATGGCCGTGTCATTATAGATTTTATAGGTATGAATGGACATTCTGTCTCTTTTTTTTCAATGTTAGACTTCAAATGCAAAATTCTAATAATTCAGTGATCTTTAACTCAAAGAGACCACGCATGAAACAGGTTTAAGGCGTTTCAGAATTTACTATTCGTTACTCAAAAGTTCTGTTCTTGTTGACTTTTTTTTTTTGGGAAAAAAAATATACTTTTTTTGTAGGTAGAAAAAAAAAATTACTTTGTCCTTGGTGTGTGCTAAGCTTTTATTGCTTGCTGATACAGCTGAATATGCAAAGCTGCCACTGCTTCCTCCATTTTTAGAACCATTTGCTGATTATAGTAAAGGTGTCAACTTTGCTTCTGGGGGGGCTGGTGTTCTTGCTGAAACCAATCAGGGACTGGTAAATCCATAAATTTATTGGATACGTACGCATGTGATATTTCATATAATCAATTGTTATTACATCAACTTTTTCCTATCTGCTTATTTATCTCACTTGTTAGAATTTGCTTAAACTTCGATATTTACTCCAATCTCAGATATTAACTTCAATTATCATTACATAAACTTCAATTATTTGCTTATTTATATTAACTCGATAAGAAGTTGCTATTTTATATAGGTGATAGATCTTCAAACACAATTAAGGCACTTTGAAGAAGTGAGAAAATCACTAGCAGAAAATTTTGGAGAGAAGACTGCAAAGGAGTTGATCTCGGAAGGAATTTATTTCATTAGCATAGGAAGCAACGATTACATGGGTGGTTATCTGGGTAACCCCAAAATGCAAGAAAGCTACAACCCTGAACAATATGTTGGGATGGTGATCGGAAACTTGACACAGGCAATCCAAGTAAGTCTAATTAGCCGCAAAATTAACTTAATTAAATAAAGCCCAAGTAATCCAAAGACGATTTGGAACAGTGATACAACTGTTCCTTTTGTAATTAAAATTTGATTCATATTTGGAAATAGTCTTTTGCAAAAATTATATAAGAATAAGACTGCATATAATATAATGATTATCCTCACCCCAATTCTTATTAGTGGGGGTTTATTGAGCAACAATATAACAAGTTGATCATTCTTTTTTGTACAGACTCTATATGAAAAAGGGGCTAGAAAGTTCGGGTTTTTAAGTTTGTGTCCTTTGGGTTGCTTGCCAGCTCTTAGAGCACTAAACCCGGAAGCTAGCACGGGTGGTTGTTTTGAAGCAGCTTCTACTCTTGCCCTTGCACATAACAATGCTTTGAGGAATGTTCTCACAAGCCTCGAGCACATCCTTAAAGGGTTTATGTACTCTAACTCTGATTTCTATTATTGGCTTGAAGATAGAATAAATAAGCCCACTAATTATGGTAATGTATTGCAATCCATATTTAATTTACCTATCTGTCACTATGTATCAACCAAAATGTGTAACCAATCAAATTTTGACTTTCATTGAAGGTTTTAAGGATGGAGTTAATGCCTGCTGTGGAAGTGGACCATATGGGGGCATCTACACTTGTGGGGGCACCAAGAAAGTTAGAGAGTACAATTTATGTGACAATATTGGTGAGTATGTCTGGTGGGATTCTTTCCACCCAACTGAGAAGACCCATGAGCAATTAGCTGAGGCTTTATGGAGTGGACCACCTTCCTCAGCAGGACCATACAATTTAGAAAATCTCTTTTCCAACAATGAGATCAAACTCACTATTGCTGATGTTGTTGATGACCGGGAAATTGAGCAAGGACAATTTGGCTACTGAGTCATTTAGAAAAAAGAAACAATAATAATAATGATAAAAAATCACAATAACACCATGAATATTTGTATGATATGTACAAGTTCGAAAGAGAAAAGCCTGTGACATGGATGGACTATAGATGAATGCTTGCATGTGGTACGTGGTCCCTCCATTTTTTTATTTTATAAAATTAACACATCGGGCACTGCCCTGACTAGGAAATTTTATAAATAATTGCAGTTTTTTTTTAAGATTTTGAATTTTGATTCTATTCTTAAAAATGCGGCTTGCTACTCAACACTCAACAGGTTCGACATATGAGCAAAGTCTGAAACATAGTTGGGCTATAGTTGTATGCTTGCATGTGATGGACAGAGTTGGGCTATAGATGTTTGCTTGCATGTGATGCACGGAAAAATCTCCGGTGTATAATTTTAGTAAATCAATAATTCATTTATCTTAGAATATGTAGGTGGATGAAATAAATGAACTACCAATACATTGAACTTTAGTACATCGATTGCACTAAGGTTTTGTTCGTGATGCACAGTCTCTTCACTTTTTTTTTACTTACCCCTTCGACAAATTAAGAAAACTCTAAATAACTATATTTTTAAGGGTTTGAACTTTGGTGATGACTTTGAATATAATATCTTACTTTGAATACAAGGTCCAAATAACGTAATAATTACTTAGTTTTATGCGGCGTGGCATACTTCTTTAATATGGTGAGAAGCAAAAAAAATTTAAGGAAAAAAAAATACTTAATCACTTGCTTGTATGGAAATATGAAATGATAGAAATTAAATTCATTTAAACGATAAAGAGACATGAATTTTATGAAATTGAGATTTTGACATTTAATTTTACTTAGATGTAATAACATCACAGTTAAACTTTAGTTTCATATTATTTATTTTTTTAATATTTACAACATTGGAGACTTCATTTGAGAATAAAACAACTTTAAATCATGTTACATGATACATACATTTCCCATAAAACAAATATCAATCTTTTTTCAAAACAGAACATATATCAACCTAACTTTTCTAACGGAAGTCCAGATAAATAACGTGAAAAAAAATATAAAAGGGTTACCGGAAAAAGAGGTTAAAAAGTCATCAAGAAAATTGTTTTTGAAAATATTTTTTGACAAATCACATTAGATTATGATATTAAATGTTTAAAAGGGAGGTTATATTTACAACCTTTTGTTCTTATAATCTCTTACGACCAAATCTTAACCGTTGATTTATGCCAATCTAATGATTATAATTTATTGAGTCATATTAATTTTCAATAAATTATAACCGTTAGATTGACGGAAATATACCCGAGTTCTATCTTTGTTCACTCTTTGCCCCGATGAGGCACAAAAATAGTCCAAAATTTGTTAACAACTTAGGCTTGTTCCATAGATGCCTCGCAAAAAGAAAAGAAAAGGTCATAAGCAAAGAATAGATATGAAATCGGAGGCCCTTTTCTTTTTAAAATAATCGGCTTCCAATCTTTGCTATGCATAGCCAAACTGATAAGATGCTCTAAGTGCTCCACTTTACTCAATACCTTAAGACAAGTAGAATTTCTTGGTTGCTCTCCCATTTCAAAGTAGATTCATGCTGCATGTGTTGACACAATTCATGATCACCCCATTTAGGGTGGCTAGCAACCCTAGTTCATGAATGGTTTCTTCCAGAAAATCCCAAGATAACTTCCATGCACTTTTTCCAGATTAACCTTTATGGCTATCCACCTCTTGTTTCCTTTCTTCTGCCTTACGTAGTGGAAAATATCTTGGGCTATGATTAAAATATCTAAGCTATGCCTCCAATGGATGAAACAACACTAAGTAGGCATGACTAGAGAGTTGAGGTGGGGTTTTAACTAATTAGCCACTATCATAGTAACAACCTTATAAATTACGTTGCATAAGCTTATCGGTCTGAATTGGTTGACGGACATCGGATTCTCTATTTTCGAAATAAGAGAGATTAAGGTCTTATTTATATCCCGAATTTTTCCTAGAACTATAAACACACACCTTACCAAATTACACACTGAGTCCTTGATTGTATTCAAGTGGTTGTGGAAGAAAATTGCATGCAGTCGATATATGCCTGGAGCTTTAAAAGGGTTCATATCAAAGATCACCATTTTAATTTTCATTTCTATAGGTTGGTCTCCCAAATGATCTAGGGTACTTGAATCCAACGCTAGGAACATTCCCTAAAATGGGAATGTGGGATGCGGACGATTTTCCTCATGGTATAACTTCTCAAAGTAGATGACTTCTATATTTATTTGCTCCTTTGGTTCACCTTGCCACTCCTTTTCCTCGTCCATTATAGAGTCAATCATGTTCATCCATCGTCTAGCTACAATGCTAGCATGGAAAAATCTTGAGTTCTTATCCCTAGAAGCTAGCCAATCAAATCTTGAATGTTGGTACCAAGTTATTTTCTCAGAGAGGTAAATTATATTAAGTTGTCTCCAAAGGTTCCTTTGAAGCCTCTCCATGGAGCTTTAAAGTTGCAGCTCCAAGATCTTGGCTATACCTTTTATTCTTACATGCAGGCAGTTCATTTTATGGAGGTTCTTCTTGAAGTGTTCGTAATGCTAACTGGAAACTTCATCCTGAAACTTTGAGCGTGCCTCGTTCCAGTCTTCCTCTTGAGTCCAACAACAAGATACAATCCCATAGAAGTTTCCATCTATCATCCAAGCTGCCAAGAAATGGAATGGACAGTCACCAGTGGGCCAAGTTGGAGGTTGACCATCCCAAATAAGGATATGCCTATGGTTTGAGCCATAGAACGACAAGTGGGAAACAACTCTGTTGGGAAACATAGCATTCTAAGCATCGTTGATGCAGGCTCTATCAATGCGTTCCTATAGCCTACCCTGCCTCCAAGTAAAAAGAGGTAATTTATGACTTGAGTCCACGAGATTGCAGGTGTCCAGACAGGTCCTAAAGTTTTGGATAGACATCCAATAGGGTTCAAAAACCCCCTCTTCTCGTCGGCCATTAGGTACACATTGAAGTCACCAAGAACTACCCAGGGGTCATGCCTATCTTGTGCTAATAGTCTGAGATCCTCCCAAAGAGTAGTTTTCTCAGCCCTTCGAGGGCTTCCGTAAACAAAAGTTACCAACTCTCTCTTTCTTTCAAGCTTCCACACGAGAGTTGTATCAACAAGAACTACCCAGGGGTCATGCCTATCTTGTGCTAAAAGCCTCTTTATCGAAGAATAGAGTGAATCTGTACTCCACCCAGGGAAGAAAGATTGTCCAATGAACACGTGTCACCATACATTTTCCTGAACCTCCGCATCAATTCAACTGCATCAGGGGGTTGATCTTTAGGGTTTGTGTCAGTTTCTGCTCCTAAAGACGTTGACTGGGTGTGACCTTGATCCACTTTAGTCTATTGTTTAGCACTTCCCTTGCTCGACATTGCCTCAGGATCTTGTTAAAGAATTCGAAGTCCTTCCAAAGCTTCCCTTTGGCCAGTCGAGGAGAGTATGGTAATCATTTTACCTATGTTCGATATTGTTTGCCTTTTGATAATATTCTTTTTTGGTCAGATAGGACCCATCATAAGATTTTTTGTCTTTGTGACCTAAGTCATGTGCTGCTTGTTTATTGGGCTTAAGTGTAATTACCTTATTATCCTTGGGTGTCTTATATCCACATATGACTATAACATATGGAGATATTCTATTGGCACGAAAATCATCTTTGCCTTGATTGCTGTACACGTGCACTGATTGCATGGAGTTTGTTACTTTTTCTATTGTTACACTTGTAACTATCATCAGAGCATTTTGTATGGTGTCTATAGCTTTTCCCTCCGTCATACTAGTAACTATCATTAGAGATTCCTCCTGCATGGCATTGGTTACTTTCTCATTTATTGCACTTGAAACAGCCTATGGGGACTCTTCTTGTGGAAGGCTAGTCAGGGAATCATGACGAGACCTTTCTATTCGAAAACTAGCTGCTACCCTGTTAATTTCATCAATGGAGGTTTTAGTGTTATTCCCTTTGCCCAATGATGATTGAGTTTCCGATTGTAATTGTCATCTTCTCCACTGCTTCTGGACATGCATCCAATCTCTGAATGCATTACCACTCGAAATTTACTGAGATGTGATTTGTTCCTGCTGGCCGGCACTTAAGTAATTTTTTTGGCTGCTTATAGGTCGTCGCGGGAGGAGGTAATCACATCTGATGTTGCTCCTTATGATGGCCATACTTACCACAATCAAAACAGATGAGGCGTAGAAAACTCTATTACCAATTTTAATTTTCTCCATAAAGCTCTTCCTTAGATCCACCTCAACGCAAATATTTATATAACATGTATTGCACACATAAAAGTCAACATTTTCATTTGTTTTCCCAAGTTATTCAAGGGCGAATGATGGCCCATTTTTTAGAAAAAATATTTCTCCTGCAATATAAGATAAAATTAACTACAGTAATCCCAAAATGATATCGTTTTGGGGGGTTTGAAAAAAATGCAAGGTATTTTAATAAAAATATATGATACATAAGGAAAGTAAAATTACTAAAATACCTTGCATTTAATTTTTCTCAAACCCCCCAAAACAACATCGTTTTAGTATTATTAGAGATATCTTTATCTCATGTTATAGGAGAAATATTTTTTCACACACTCACACCTATATATTATGCTCGTACCGGTGTAAGTTACACATTTAATCTTGGTTGTTGATACTATTTATATCTAACAACACTAATTTATTATATATATAAGTCGATAGATGCAAATAAACCAATGACCAAGACTTGGGGTAACACTTTTTATTCTTACACCATATATATATATATATATATATATATATATATATATATATATATATATATATAATCCTTTGACACCGGTGTCAAATTTGAAGTTTGATACCTCATCTGAGAGCCGTTAGATCAAAAAGGATCAATAGTATCACATGCTTATAAATCAGAGTCGTTGATCTTTCTTGATCTAACAGCTATATATATATATATATATATATATATATATATATATATATATATATATATATATATATATGGGCGGGATCCTTTGACGCCAATGTCAAACAAAAAGTTTGACACTTTGTATGAGGGTCATTAGATCTAGACAGATCAACGGTATTACATGCTTACAAGTCAAAGTCGTTAGATCAAGACAAGATCAACGACTTTCAGATGAGGTGTTAAAGGATCCATATATATATATATATATATATATATATATATATATATATATATATACATATATATGGATTTTATGTTTACTATGTTACATAATATAACTCCACTTTTCTACACACACATCAAAGAAGTAGGGTCTATATAAGGTTTCTCTCTCTTTCATCATTCCACTTTCTCTCTCCTTATTGTTGTGTGTAGAAAAATAAAGATATATTATGTAACATAACAAAGATAAAATCCTATATATATATGAGAAAAAGATTTCTCAAGTTACTTGAGATATATTTATCTCTGGTCAGTCCAAAACTACGTCATTTTATTTATTTTTTTTCTTATATTAAATGATTCACTTTTGAATGGTTATGATTCCCATTTTCTCTCTCTTCTTTTATTCCCATTAATTAGTCTTTGTACGGTCATGATTTAGTAGTTGATATAAAGTTATCTCAAGTAATTTGAGAAACGATAGCACACACACACACATATATATATAGAGGGAGGATATTCTTACTACCAAAATTTTCTACCACTAACTTACTACCTATCTAATCACCATTGAATCAAAGAGAGAGAATGCTAAAAAAAATGAAAAAATATTGATCCAATGGTGATTAGATAGATAGTGAGTTAGTAGTAAAAAATTTTGATAGTAAGAATATCCCTCTTCATATATATACTAGTGAATTACCCGTGCGATGCCCGGGAGAAAAAGAACAAAATCGTTGTCGCCGTCGTTGGTGTGTCGTCTTACTGGTAAATCCACACGTTGATCTTGATATGAAACTCTTAATAATAATATCATAATAAAAAATAATTGTATTGTTATAATTTTTAACTTGAAAAGGCTGTAGCATTCAGAAAGATAAAAAAGTAAAATAGAATTTTGTAGGATGAAACGTTTAATTGTATCGAGTAACCTTCACGTCCAATTGCAAAAATGATAAATAGAATAATGTTAATGTAAAAACAATTTAAATGTCATAATGTCAAAATTGCTCACAATTAATAATTCACAAATAACATGATACAATTCGGTGTTCCAGCAAAATATCTCTGACATCAGCCTGCTAACTATAAAAGAAATAAAAACAGTATATGTTAGCATAACATATGATTTAGCGAATAAAGAACATAAGAACTGAACAGGTAATTGTCAGAAGTATTATTCAATGTGGTTTTTTGCTTTTGAATTTCAGAATCATATTTTAAAAATACAGTATAAAAATAATCAAAATCCAACGCTAATCAACATTTGAAAAAAATATAACTTAAGGAATGCAGATTTTACCTGTACCAAAGAGCAACGTTATATCCAATCGACTGAAGCAATATAAATTACAGTAATCTCTGAAATACTTCTTTGTAGACTATGTTAAAGGTATTGTTTGTTACACAACCATCATCATCAACTATCAAAATCTTCAATCCCTTTTTGCTCTTTACTCGGGATAGTGCCACATATAATTGCCCATGACTAAAGACTGGCCTGGGTAGATAAATTCCAACATGAGAAAGCGATTGTCCTTGACTCTTATTGATTGTCATGGCAAACAAAACGACGAGGGGAAATTGTCTTCTTTGGAAATTTACAGGAAAAGAATGACTTGAGGAGCTCATTGTCATTCTAGGGATTAACACATTTTCTCCTATATTGCTTTCTGTAAGAACAGTTGCCTCAACCACATGATTGCTTAATCTTGTAATAAGCAATCTTGTTCCATTGCATAAACCTCTTGATTGGTCAATATTTCTTAATAGCATGACTGGAACTTTGACCTTCAAAATTAATTTATGATCCGGAAGCCCAGAACAGGAGAAGGTATTTAAGATCTCAGGTGAGAATTCATCATCCTCAAGGGAAGAATTACCGTCTTGCTTCAAAATATTATCTGAACTTAAATATATTCTTTCGTCACCTGGAATCAAAGACATTAAGTTCTCATTTAAAATAGAAACATCTGCCAATTTTGGAGTCAGAATGACACGTTCTTTAAAGAATGTGGGTTGTAAAATATGATCCAAGATATTAGGGTACACAAAATCCATCAAATCTGAAAGTGGATTCAGTGATTTTTTAATCAATAATTCATATGGAATTGTTATAATAGATTCTCCATCCACATCATCTCCAAGAACACCATCCCCGACTTTAAGAAGCCAATTAGAAAATTCCTTTATTTCCATTAAATTGTGAATGTCACTTCCAGAACTAAGCCGCACGTTCTTGGTCAAAGTTAATAAATGACAATGAGACCAAAGGCAAGAAGAATTAATAGTTGCATGGACTATATCTTGTCTGCTTCCATGAGGAACAACAGGTAAGATTTGCCTGAAGTCACCCCCAAGAACAACAACTTTCCCACCAAATGGTTTATCAACACAACTTGAATCAGAAAATCTAAGAACATCTCTAAGTGTTTTGTCTAGAGCCTCAAAGCAAAATCTGTGTACCATTGGCGCTTCATCCCAGATGATTAACTTTGTTTTCGCCAGCAATTCAGCAATATTAGAATCCTGCCGTATATTACAGGTTGAATCCTCAGTGATCTGAATTGGAATACGAAATCTAGAGTGTGTTGTCCGTCCTCCAAGAAGCAAAAGTGATGCAATCCCGCTAGAAGCAACATTAAGTACAATTTCGCCTTTTGATCTAATGGATGCTGACAATGTATTCCAAATAAATGTTTTTCCTGTACCACCAAAGCCGTATAGAAAAAAGAATCCCCCTGTACCCACTGAAACTGCTTAAATTATCTTGTCATAGACAACTTTTTGCTCATCTGTAAGGGAACTCATTAGTCTTTTATGTTCTTCAACCAAAAACAATCTGTCATACAGTAATTCATCAAGCACTAAGCGATTGTGCATATCAAGCAAAGATGCACCAGTGATGCAGGGCATTGAAGGGTAATCAGAAAGGCATTTTCTATTACTCTGTAGCACTTTATCAATTTCAGCAAGTGTTGTTGAGATATATAGTCCCACATTGATTGGATGAGCAACTAATATGGCCTTCATAAGGCCTTGGACACTCCCACCCCTTGAGCTAGCTTTTGGGGTGGTGTATCCCAAGGTTCTTAACATGGTATCAGAGCCTCATCGTCCCCCGCTTTAAAAAAGTGGAATTAAAATAAAAAAAAGCACAAGAAGGTAAACCAAAAATGGGCCTGTGCAATTTTCACGCTTCTAAGACTAAAGGGCTCTTGCGTGAGGGGGCGTGTTGAGATATATAGTCCCACATTGATTGGATGGGCAACTAATATGGCCTTTATAAGGCCTTGGGCACTCCCACCCCTTGAGCTAGCTTTTGGGGTGGTGTATCCCAAGGTTCTTAACAATTTATGCTTTCCTTTATCTCATCCCATATCAATTTATTGTGATAACAAATCCGCGATATATCTCACACACAATCCAACATTTCACGAACGAACGAAACATGTTGAGTTGGACTGTCATGTCGTTCGCGAAAAAGTAGCTCAGAAGCTTGTTCATCTGTTGCCTGTTTCTTCTTCAGCACAAATTGCGGATGTCTTTACAAAACCATTGCATGTTACTTCGTTTCAAAGAGCTATGTCCAAGTTGGGACTCTTCAACATATATAGTCCCACTTGTGGGAGGATGTTAATATATCCTAATGAAGTAACTAACGCTGACGTGGAAAGAGATGCAGTTAAAGTTAGTTTGTAACTGTATCCAGTTTGTTACACGGTTAGGAATCTGTTGTGTATAGTTGGAGGTTTGTTATACTCATTATTGATTCTTATGCTTGACACCATGATATATAAGGTGGAATAGCTGTAATGTAAACTCAGATTTCATAGTACAATGAATTTTCAGATAATCAAGAAGTGTTGTGTTTTTTATTTGTTCTTCAGTAAGATTTGCATATGTAGAAACGTGGAAAACAATGAAAAAATGACAATTGAAAGTACAATTCTAACATGACTCATGGTACATTTTTTTTACCACAAAAAGCGGTATATTCAACAGAAAAAAATAATGATAAAAAAAATTATAATGCATACGATATGTTCATAATGAATACCTGGATGTCCTACTATTGTTCTATGTCGATAAAGAACATCGTCAGAGAGAAATTGCCAACACTTCCCCCAAATATTTTCAGGTCTATTCATTAAGTTACCAAACAACAACAGAGCAAAAAGACGTCTAAGATAAGAAGCTGACTGCCAAGAACTTGCCTCCTTAATTGCATCAATGTATTCATTGTCATCATCCAAAAGTCCAAGAGAATAGCAAGCATCTTTAAATGTTGGAAACATCACCCCATTGATAGTTCTCAGGTCCTCGTAACACTTGTGCAACCCTTTTTAATTTTATTTATTTATTTTCTTATATTAAATGATTCACTTTTGAATGGTTATGATTCCTATTTTCTCTCTCTTCTTTTATTCCCATTAATTAGTCTTTGTACGATCATGATTTAGTAGTTTATATAAAGTTATCTCAAGTAATTTGAGAAACGATAGCACGCACACATATATATATATAGAGGGAAGATATTCTTACTACCAAAATTTTCTACCACTAACTTACTACCTATCTAATCACCATTGAATCAAAGAGAGAGAATGCTAAAAAAAATGAAAATTTTTTGATCCAATGGTGATTAGATAGATAGTGAGTTGGTAGTAAAAAATTTTGATAGTAAGAATATCCCTCTTCATATATATATATATATATATATATATATATATATATAAAAGCTCCAATCAAATACTGAAAAACATACGAAGAAGAATATCCCATGGGATGGTTACGGCTTCCTGCAATTGTGAAGTAGAGTGTACGGGACAACAGATTTGCTTGGAACTTGCATCCGTAATTAGCTGGCCTTTTGATTTTGACTTTGGACGATGATGTTATGGATTATTAATCTGCATAACATTATCGAAAAATGTTAATTTAATTCCATGAGATAAGAAGTTTTGGATGATTTTACTTCCTAATGATTCATCAACTATTAAGAAGAAAATAATTGAATTTAATGAAAACATGATAAATAATTAAATAATTTTTTTTATTATATCAATTAGATAAAAAATCTTAAAAATTAATTAAAAAAAGGTGACATGAGAATTATTATTATTATTATTTTTTTGGAAACGACATGAGTATTATTTTAACTTTTACATAAGGAGACTTGTCAACTTAATATAATAAAAATTACGAAAATAGCTCAAATCAAATAATAACGTGTTGGCACTAATAATTATTTATTCAATTGATAAAGAGCTTGTTCATATTAATTATAAGTCTCGAATTTGAATATTGAGAATATAAAAATAATATTGAAAAGCCGCATCAATATGGATCCGACAATGTTTAAATTGGATTAAATCGACATGAATATTAATTATAATAATGTATGGAGAATACGACCGTAGATAGTTTCTTATCACTATACATGATGGAGGCAGAGTTAAAAAAAGAGAATGTACCAAAAAAAAAAAAAAGATGATGTGTGTGCAAAGTAAGTCAATGACAACAAGGAGGCTAGAGTTTCAGTTTTTCAAATGTGTATCTATGAGCTAATTAAATCTCTATTTTATAGATGGTTAACGTGGGCCCATAACAAATAATAATAATAATACAATTAAAATAATGAGATTTTTGTTTTGGTGCAAAAATTAATTAATTTCTTGCTTAGAAAAAATCTTCTACTTAAGTATTTAAATGTCATCTTATTATTTTTTTTAAATTTTTATCATCAAACTAATTCTTTAAAAATAATAGTGCTTCATTATATTATTTCTTTTTTCCAAATTTCTTGTAGAGATATAAAAATTTATCATATTCGTCCCTACAGAAAATTAAAGTAGTAACATGAAAAGACAAATTTATAATTATTTTTTTACCTTTGAAAGATAAATTAGATAATGAATATAGTTAGAGAATTAATGCACTGAATTTGCAGTAATTACTTTTTTTTTAAACAATTGTAATTTTTCAAAAACTCTCTTAAAAAGATGTTGATATGGAACGATATATTAGAAGATGCTTTGTTCACCACAAAGAAAATCATCCTCTAAAGAGTTTAAGTCAACAAAGGTTACCCAACTATGTATGCAATCTCTTAGCAAAACTTATCTCAAGTCACATATTCAAAAATTAATTGGAAAACCTTGTCGTCTCGCCATTTGCAGGAATTAATAAGGGATATCTTTCAAAATTAATCATCTCCCCAATATAAATGTAAGTGTGATAAATATAAAGTGCACATTTTCTTACATGAATAAACATATTTATATAAAATTTGACTTGAGTATCGAAATATCTTACACGTACACTTCTAGCTTATTTCAATAAAAACCCATAAATTAAATCTGCATCAAATAATTTGAAGAGGAAATTCACATACATATTTGGCCCATATAAAACTAATTCTGATGAGATCTAAAAGCTGTTTTTTTTTTACTTTTAAATAAGTTAATCTAACTACGCATTTACTATTTAGTCTTTTAAGATATTAATTTAATAATAAAAATCCTTAATAAACTAATATAGTGACATAATATTTAAAAGATTAAGTAAAGAATTCAATCTTAGAAATTAGCAACAAAACAATATCTAGTCACCACTATCTACAAATCCCCCTTGAAGGCTTGAACCTTAACTTATTATATAGGGAAACATGACTTACAGCTTCAAATTAAATATCAGATGTCACAGAAGAGAAAATGACAGGTTTCTAACATTAAATGAACAAAGAGCAAATTCAGTAATTAGACATTTTTAATTTGTTGTTCATTTAATAAAATAAGCAATTCATTATTGCTTTTAAAACAAAAAGTAGTCATCATTCACAACACCATTATAATTTTGCCGTCCTAGGAAATTTAAGTTGTAAACCTTTTGACTTTTTGACACACACATTAAATAATTTTGTAACTAATTATCGTATAATTTTGAATAATTTTTCTTCAAGATATATATATATATATATATTTTAAATACCTGTAAATTAAAGGACACTTGCTATTTAAAACATTATACAAATTATGTATCAAGAAAAAAAAAAACTATACAAAATATCTCTCTTCTTCCTCTTTCGAGTGGCCAAGAAAGTTCAAGATGACACGTTAGTTCACATTTACGTCGGTGGTTGAATAAAAAAAAAATCTATATTGTAAGAAAGGAAAAATCAAATATAATAACAACAAATATTACAAAACAATCTTTTAATATAATCCAACCTAATCAAATAGAATAAACACAACTTCACATCATTATTTTAGAATTTTTTATTTTTCTATACAGAATTTTCAATGTGTGGACGGTGCGGTCACCGGAGCTGTGGTTTTTGATTGTTCTATTTTGGATCTGAGTACTGAGCTGTCAGAAAATTACAATTTTTATAAAATTAAATAAAAATTACAAAAAACAGATAAATATAAAATTAAATAAATTGAAATCAATAATTAGCTGTTAGTTGTTCTTCTCGTTCGTTCCCGTGCTTTGCAACTCTTTCTTCTTGAACCTCCGAAATCTCTTCATCTTCTTCTGCTCGATCTCGTGCTATCATCTAATACGCTGCGTTTAGAGTTCCCATTTTGAAAATAACACATGCTGATTTTCTCTACATATTCCTCTTCGTTACCATAAAAATTTGCAATTCGCGATTTGTGGATCCGTGCTGTTCCGCGTCTTCACGGCGAGCTTGAGTGGTGATCGGAGGTTGAATAGCTCCGGCAGTCGCAGAGGCGGCTGCGACGGTGGCGCCGTTTCTGGTTGGAGGAGGAGGAGGAGGAGCTGGAATGGGGAGGAAAGGTCGATAGTTTGGATCGAATTTTGTGGGGAGTAGAATGCTGTATTTGAAGCAACCTAACCTTTTTCAGAGCATGGAGTTGTTCGATTTTGTTGTATCTGTTTTTATGCATTATTGTTGTGGTTCCTCGTGTTAGGTGGTGATTGTGTGTGAGAAATTTTGGTGGCCACATTTTGCATGCGATTTTGATGGTTTCCCTCTGAGCCTGAGGCTCGGGGGATCTGAATAATTGGGAGAAGGAGAAGCCATGGCGTCCTCAGAGAATGAGCCTTCCTCGCACTCTCTTCCTGCACATACCTGTATGTGCAAGTTTAGGCTATACGAGACTCTATCGGTATGCTATGCGCTTTTCTTCTTCTTTCCTATGATTAATTGCTTCTATTATATTTTTCTCTCTACTCTGATTCTACTGAGATCTCTTTGATTTTGTCATTATTGATCGTTTCGTGTGAAAGACGTTGCGTTTTTGGCTAAATTTTAATACAACATGTTTCTCTTTTTTGGTTTCATTTGGATATATTGGCTGGCTCTTTCTGTATTTTAGAAAAAAATATATGTCAATAATTTTGTTGTTGTTGCTCTTACACCTAATTGAGATGAGGGGCTATGATAATCTCCACTGCAAGTTAAAAGTAAGATCAATGCACTTGTTTCTTGGTCATGTTCATATACAGTGATGAAATGCATGTTCGAGGGATCTTAAGCATTCCGGTGAATTTATTATCCTAGTTTTATACCACTTATTATCTCAGTAGTGGTTCTTAGTTTTGAAATTGCAGTGTTACGTGTTTCTGGAAGAAAGAGGAAACTAGCTAGTCATCCAATGCATTGGATTTCTTGTACGATAGACCGCAAAATATATTTGAAAACTTTATTGGTTAACTGTTTTAGAGTATGAGGATAACTTTGGCACAGTAGATAGTAGTTAACGTTTGTAAACTCATTCCATGGTTTGATTAAGCTCTAATTCTTTTCCTACTTTAATATTCTTATGTATGTCTTTTACATTTCCAAAATGAATCTTGATGTAATTTTTATGCCTTAGCATATGAGCATCTGTGCAGATGCTTACTATTTCCATTGCACTTGAAAGTGGGTTTGCCTTAACTTTGAATTTTTTTCTCTTCCGGGCCTCTATGCTTTAGATGCTTGGTTTGAAAATTTGGCAGTAGAATTATCATGCCTTTATAATCCAATGTGTGTATTATTAAGCTTTGGATGTCCCATTTGAGAAATATTGAGTTACAGGGTTGGATACTCTGTTGAAGTTCCCGTGTTTATCCTGCTTTTTTTTTTTTTTTTTTTAATATAAATTTTTACCTTGTTCATTTTATTTTATGTCTATGCCTCAGAACTTTTACATGATAGGAAGGGACAATAGCAGGACATATTGGAGGGTGTTAAAGATTGACCGGCTAGATCCTTCCGTGCTAAATGTGCGTGAAGATTCGACCATATATACAGAAAGTGAATGTTCTGACCTGTTGAGGCGTATACATGAGGGGAACAAGTCCACCGGTGGACTGAAATTTGTTACAACTTGTTATGGAATTGTTGGTATGTAGATCCAATGTGTATTGTCCAGTTGACTCTTGACAAATTATCTGTCCTTATCTTGATAAGTTATTCTGCATTTAGGGTTCATAAAATTTTTGGGGCCTTACTACATGCTACTTATCACAAAAAGAAGGAAAATTGGTGCAATCTGTGGTCATACAGTATATGCTGTCTCGAAGAGTGAGATGATTCCACTACGAAATTCTTCGGTTCAGTCCAACATCACCAATTATAAAAATGAAAACAGGTCTTTACAATCGTGCTTGTTATGTTGATTTTGCATTTGTACTTCAGAAGAAAAACTGAATGTTAGCCCAAGGGTTGCTAATCATATATTTGCATTTATATATTTTCTGAATGCTGACATCTTTCTGCTGTTTCCTTTAATCATTTGAAACAGTTGCTTCAGATTTCTTATTTGCTTGCATTTATAATGATCTTTCAGTTTCTCTTTCTATCTAATTTCTAAAGTATGTTAAGTCTTATATTCATAGATGTTTTGTTAATATAAAAGTTTGTGGAAACCTTGCACCCCTTCTTTTTGGCTTGAATAAAAATAAATTAAAAACTACACAGATTTTGTTTTAATTTATTTTTAAAAAAAGAATACATTGATTATTGAAAACTCAATCTTAATTAGATTTTATTTCTGATGGAAATGTGGCATAATAGAGTTGCTAGGTGGTTCTTATTCTTAATGTTTGCTACCATCTTTTGACGTAAACACAATATTGTGGTCTAATGTCAAATTTTATTGTTCTTAATGTTGTCAGGTTTTGTATTAATTTTTTTTTCATTAACTTTTTAGATACAAGAAGCTCCTATGCATGGTCGACCTTACAAAGGACTTCTTTTTCAGCTACTCATACCACATAATGCGTAGTCTTCAAAGGAACTTGTGTGATAATGAGACAGGCCATGTGCTTTATGAGACCATGTTTGTCTGGAATGAATATTTGACTCGAGGAATTAGGAATCACCTCCAGAACACTCTTTGGACAGTTGCACTGGTGTACGGCTTTTTTAAACAGGTAAATATTAATGGCTCTTAAAACCACCGTAAGTGAATAATGGGATAATTTTTTCTCATTATATTTCATGTTATCTATTTATTTTCTCCTTCAGCTTTGTGATGGTTGCAAGAGTGCTTGCACTTAAAGAATCAATTAGAAAGATATCAGGCTGTGTTTCTTTAATATATTTGCAATGGATGGTATTCTGATATATCTTGTTCAAGTGACAATTTAAATATGATCTGTTTGTTATTAATGCAACACAACTAGATGATATTTTTTGTGACTTTATCATTTTTGGACTAGATATTGCATACATTGATTGGATAATCTTGTTACGTATCTGGCTGGTGTACTATTATTTCCTGTTCTGTTGAAGTAGTTGTTTTTTCATCCCATACTTGAATATCTGATGTTGATCTGGTTGCTTCATCAGGACACACTTACAATATCTGGGCGGGAGGTCATCCTCACGCTCATCGCAAGACGGTCACGTCACTATGCTGGCACTAGGTGTGTAAATTTCACTGTATTTTCTTCCCAAACACATTGAATGGAGTTTGTAAGCATTTGCCAAGGTGACTATGTGGTGCATATACTTCAGTTGATCATATGTATACATCTGTCTTAATACATAATTTGACTTTCTTTCTCTGCAAACTTGGCAGTCACTTAAGTAGCTCCTCTGATGATTAAATATATTTTGTGCTGTGTATGTGTCCCTTGTGCAATGTTATTTTTTTTTTAATTTTTTTTTTGTATTTTCTAGTTGTTTTGCATTGTCCAATTGATTTGATTATAATATATGGAAATGACCCATTGAATCCTTGGCTTTGGACTTTTGGTGGCATTTTCTATTTGAAGAGCAATTTTTCCGATTAAGTTTTGACAAACAAGTGAATATTGGCATAATTTATTGCATTGTATTTGGTGTAATGTAAGAGGATGGTGAAGACTACGGTTGACGTCAGGGATAAGGAGGTTCAGGAATGTAATAGAAAAGATTCTGTATTTCATGTTCTGATGGAGGGATCAAGCATCTCTATTTTCCATTTAGGTGCTGATGGAAAGAGCTGAGATAGCTAGACTAAACATAAGCTATATTGTTAGCTTCACTATGTTTACCATCAATGAAACTTTGAAATTAAGCAATTTTTGGGGAAGACATATAGCATAACAAGGAAATGCCAAAAGCAAAGGATTGTTAGCTGATGCTTATTCCCCGGATACCGTCACTGCTTCTTCTCTGGGAAAAGAAGTTCACAATCCGTAGGCCTTCTACCTCCACACGACATTGCTCTGTCAGGCTTTTGCCAATTGTGGAAAATTCCCCACTGCTGTCTCCCGTAGGAGTCTAGGCGTGTCTCGTCTCAGTCCCAGTGTGGCTGATCATCCTCTCGGACCAGCTACGGACCCAAACCATTGTTTGGAACTTTCCAAACGGGGAACCAAACATACACTTTGATGTTTGAAACTGATTTAAGAAGTCTGGAGTTAAATTGTACTCCTTAAGAAAAATAGGAGATGAAAGAAGAAAAATAGGAGATGAAAGAATGACAAGGACATCTAAAGCAAGGCTAAAGGAGATTGTCTTGTGGTTAGAAACCAGGGAAAATAGAAGAAAAAGATCCTGTTATTGATGAAATCTGAACCAACCCTATTACTGCCAATAAAATCCATTATATAATATAAATGTACACTTTCAACAAAACCTACCTATAAACTACCAAAGGTATGTTGAATAAAAAAACAAAACTGAAAGACTTAAAATAAATAAAAATAAGGTTGCTACAATGCTGTTCTACGGTAGCGTTAATAGTACACCCCCCATTGTAAACTTCACAGGCATGGGGTGTAGAACATTTGTGCCAATGCTGTCCCCTTGAATAATTCGTAGTGTTTGATTTGTTGTTCCACATTTATTCCAAAAGACAAACCTCACCAGAGTTACTGTTGGATTGAAAGGGAAAGATTTTCTGTGAAATGCAGTCTTACTGTTTGCCGCCATGGAGATTCCATAGGTATATAGCAAAATATTTCAATAAATCTTCTTTAATTTATTTAAAAATAATTAGCTAAGCACAACCAAAAATAATTAAAACTTGTGTGGGATGCCACCTCATTTAGGTGAGCTGCCAGCTCCATATTTCTGGAAAACTTGATTCGGGCTATTTACTCTGACTGGGGAGTGCAATGTTTTACATTGCCATTCCAGTCCAATGGTGTCTCTGCCCTTTGCTCTGGTGTATGTGATGGGGCTCAGATCTGCTACTTTTGGTAGTTATTGTGGATTCCATAATATGCTAATAGTTTTCATTAAAAAGGACAAACCTCAGTGCACCAGGCTCCCCAATTTGCGAGAGTAGGGGTGAGGGTTGATTGTACGCTCTGCTGAATTTGTCATGGTTGTCCTTATTAAAAATTCAGTGAAAAGTTTCTCAATTTTATCTTATATGCTAACTTTATTTGAGGTTTTCATTTCACTAAACACTACTCAAGTATACATCTTTGCAATAATGTGTGCAATTCACAGCTTCATCTATTTGGTTATTACATGCAGGTATTTGAGACGAGGTGTTAATGAGAAGGGCAGAGTAGCTAATGATGTTGAGACGGAACAAATTGTATTTGAGGATGTTCCTGATGGTCTCCCGGTCCAGATAAGCTCTGTTGTTCAGAACCGGGGATCGATCCCTCTTTTCTGGTCACAGGAAACTTCACGTCTAAATCTTAAGCCAGATATTATATGTATGTCTTCTCATTTCCTAAACATTGTAAAACTTGCAGAGTTTTTTATATTCTCTCCCTTATTACATGAGTCACCATGTTTTGCTTATTTAAACACTTGTTCTTTCCCAGTGTCAAAGAAGGATCCAAACTATCAAGCCACCAGACTTCACTTTGAAAATCTTGTCAAAAGATATGGGAATCCTATAATAATTTTGAATTTGATAAAGGTAATTTTCTATTTTTATTCTTTTAAAGGAAATGAACTTATTTTGCCTCATTTACTAAACATATCTAATTTCCTCAATATACAATTTTCTTGAATCTTCACCGTGTTATTTACAAAAGGGTTTTGATTTTTTTATTATTATAATAATAATTATTTTGTAAGACTCTTAAGTGACTGATATTGCATTTTTTACCAACAGACACATGAGAGGAAGCCTCGTGAGTCCATACTTCGTTCAGAGTTTGGTAATGCCATTGATTTCATTAACAAAGATTTATCAGAGGAGAACAGACTTAGATTCCTTCACTGGGATCTGCACAAACATTTTCGGAGGTTGGTGTCTTTTATTATATGATTTTGTCCTTCTTAGTAATTAAATTATGAGTGTGCTCTGAATAAGCTGATTTAAATTTGTGCTTTTTTCTTTTCTACTTCCAGCAAATCTACAAATGTTTTGCTCCTTCTGGGCAAAGTGGCGGCATATGCCTTGACATTAACAGGTTTTTTCTACTGCCAAATGACACCGACTTTTAGACCAGAAGACTGTATACAATGGCCATCTACTGAGTAAGTTTTGCATTTTCTTTCAATGGCCTTTCGCCATTTCTTTGATTGATTGTGTATTCTTGTGAATTGTGATCAGTTTGAGAAAATATAATGATCATGATATAAAATTTGCTATTGAATAACATGAAAAAATGTTAATAAAGAAACGTTAATGCACGTGCCCCAAAAAAAAAAGGTGTTAATGCTTGATGGAGGCATGGAATACATAAACTTCATCCACTGACACCTCTTGTTTACTGATGTTAAGTTTTGCAAACGGCAATGTTGATAATGGAAGCTTTCAACCTACAAGACATGTTGGTATTGACAATGAGGATGCTAATAATTTAGAGAGGAAACCTAGTGGAGGAAAGAATGTTGCTAATGGAAACCATTCGGTTAGGCCACCCATGTTGCAGAAGGGGGTGCTCAGGACCAATTGCATTGACTGCTTAGATCGTACAAATGTTGCACAATATGCATATGGGTTGGCTGCTCTTGGTCGCCAACTCCATGCTCTAGGAATTATTGACGACCCAAAAATTGATGTTGACGATCCTCTAGGTGATGATTTGATGGGATTTTATGAGCGGATGGGTGACACACTCGCACATCAGTATGGTGGTTCTGCTGCACACAACAAGGTGATTAGTTGTGTTGTTCTCTGCAATTACTTCATTTAGTAGTTATAATTTAGCTTGGGAACTTGTTCTTTCTTGATTACCTTTGAAGTTTTTCAAATAAAACTTCATTAATTTTGTAATTGGATTTAAACTTTGTAATGGATAAGATAATCATTAATCTTATTATATGAATTTTTTTTAATAAAGAAATTTTAACAGAAGAAAAGAAATAGATAAAAGAAAGTAAACCTCTTTATCATTCACCCCGTGAAAATTATTTTGTGGTTTGCTGCAGTTCATGTCTGTCTAATTATGTTCCTTGAGTTGAATGGTATACAATAGTCTTGTTAGCTTGCTTATTGTTAATGTGATTATGAGAATGGACTTATCTCTTGTATTACATACATGTAGCACTCTTAGAGAACATTGACAAACTTCCTCCAATGACTAATATGATCAATGAAAACTGCATGACCATTATCTGAATTAATTTTGCTTTCAGGAGAATGGTATTACTCCATTGATAGATTGGTCAATGTTTTGAATTTTCTTTTTTCCTTGGGTGTTATATTCCACTTCTTTGTTAAATGGGTATAGACACGGTGTTTTAATGTTGAAAATTTTTAATTGATTTGCGATTGGTATAACATAAGCTTTTCAGATGATTTTTTTCTTTAACTGCTGTTGCTACTTGCCATGTAGATATTCTCTGAGAGGAGGGGACAATGGAGAGCTGCAACAGAGTCTCAGGAGTTTTTTAGGACTCTTCAACGATATTACAACAATGCTTATATGGATGCTGAGAAGCAAAATGCAATTAACGTGTATGTGCCGCAGTCATGCATTTCTTTTCTATTGCCTCCAAGTTATTATTTCCGTGATTGGATGTATCGCATGTCTGTCATCTAGTTCTCTCTAAAGGGTCTTTCATTGGGAAGTTGAATAACACAGTTATGCATTTCTTAGTTTTCTTTTGCCTCCAAGTTATATTATTTCCAGTGATTGGAAGTATAGCATGTCTGTCTTCTAGTTCTCGCTAAAGGGTCTTTCATTGGGATATTCAAGAAATTTATTGTAGGAAAAGATGGATTGCACAGTAGGATAAGAAACCTTCCTCTGATTACACTTATACACAAAATAAAGAAGAGAAAAAAGTAACTTTATCACAAGAGATTCTCTAATCCCTCTGCCTGTTTACTAAGAAACACTGTAAAAGCTGTCTGCTGAGCACCAAAGGGAAACCATGAAAATAGTCTCAAAGCACTTCATCCTGTAAAGAACCAATTCAACCCAAAAGCTTAAACTATTGGATGAGGCTACATTAATGGTTTTTATATATTTCAACACGCTCTCTCACACGAGAGCCCACTGGGCTTGAAGGGTGGACAATGCACAAGTCCACCTACCTGTGCGAAGAAAGAAATTCCACTAGAAAGAAAGTGGGGGGTGGTGAGGATCGAACCTGGTACACCGAGGCTTTGGTACCATGTAAAGAACCAATTCAACCCAAAAGCTTAAGCTATTGGGTGAGGCTACATTAATGGTTTTTATATATCTCAACACATCCAAACTCCAGAGACAGCATAGGGCAGCATAAGTTGCACACTTCAATTTCCTCTTTGCTTCTGCCAAAACCTTTAAAACTAATAAAAGAAATGTTGAAACTGCACAACTTTAAAATCTTATTGTAATGGGGAAATGATGCAGATAAGAAGGACGGCCGATGTTAGGAAAGGTCTCTGTATTGTTTGCACATCAATGTATACCGGATAAGTGAATTTCCAATGACTGAAGTGCGTTGCTGAGATTTTTGTATTGGCATCCTATGTATTTTTCTTTTTATGATCTGGCGCCATATGATGTCTCTGCTGGGATATATTTTTAGGATTTTAGAGTGGCATTGGTTATAAAATTGGTTTCTAGAGAAAATTCATTAGAAAAGAATGGAGGGAGAATATATGTATGAGGAAGCTATCCTCCTAAACAGAAAAAGCAAAAAACTTTGGCCCTATACCTATGTACATTAAAATTGAAACTCCCTCGAAACAGCCATGATTAGAACACCAAAGAGAGGGATACATAATCCCATTCTGTAGCAGGTTGAGGGGTAAAGAGACACCCTAAATTATGTGAGTATTCTTTGATTCTAAAATTTGTATGATTTCATATCTTAAAAGTTGATCGCTAAATAGGAATTGACATTAGAAGTTAGAACTACTCAAAACCAAATTTCAAGCAAAATGATTTGATCTAATATGTAAATTTAGTAATTTTTTTTTTTTTATCATATACAGTTCTTAGCTTGTTTTTGAATCTGCAGAAAGTCCCCCCCTTTTCACTTGATTTATGACATTATCATGTTTCAATTTAACTTCTCTTTTTCAGCTTTGTCCTAGTTAAAATTTCAATCTTGCACTTTTAATATATATATATATATATATATATATATATATATATATATCCTCTTTGCGAAGATTGTCTTTGTGTTGTTATTAACTTATTATTATGTTCTACTAATCATAAGATAGTCTTTTACAGCTTCCTTGGGCATTTTCAGCCACAACAAGGTAAGCCTGCTCTATGGGAGTTGGGTTCAGATCAACATTATGATGTAGGAAGGCATGGGGATGACGATGCAAGGTATCTAAATTTAGTTTATTGGAAGTATAATACCTTTTTTTTAATCCTTATATAAATTGGTCCCTTGATTAAAGACTTGAGAGTTTTGTTAGGGGCTTGTCCATCTAGAACTTCCAGTCTACCTTTCCCTTCTAAATTTCCTATATCATAATATATCATGATCTATGCAGCATAGACATCGACATGGATGCTTCAATATAAAGAATCTAAAATACAATGTGATGTAGGATAAATAGGGCATAGAGTGTTCAATTGTTGCATTCGAGAAAGTGGGACATAAATGTGAGTTTCCATGTTATTACATATTGTAGAGATCATGTGTTAGGTCTATGAATCCATTGTATACAAGCCTCTTCACTATTAAAAAATTTATCATAAATGCTAACTTACTATGTGTTTTCATCTGAGTGCAAACCTGTATGCTAATAAGGTGTGAGATTTTGAGTTGTGGTATAACAGTCATCAAGGAGCTGCTAGAATTTATTATGAGGATTCTGATGTGGTAATTTTTGGGGATAGCTTTTTTTTTTTTTTTTTTTTTGTATATATTGGGGATAGCTTTTAAATTCCAATTGTGTCTAATAAGATGGAGGGCTGCTGACTCTTTTGATTTGAAGAGTTTAATTGTTCAAACTTGCATTGGATGTTGCTGAATATTAGTACAGTGGCATGGTCTTCTATTTTCTGTTAACTGAAAACAGCATAAATTTTATAATTACAGATACTACAAAATCATTATGGACTTGCTGTGAATATCATTATAATATGATGCATATAGTTTGGAAGTTCCTGTTGATGCAGCTTATGTGGTAACTTTGGAATGTGGTTTTTAGGTCAATTGTCAAAAGATGTTTCTCGGATGGAAACATTCTTCGTGACAGTTCTACATCTATGTCAACCCCAAATCCCAGGATGGAAAAATTCTCAAAGCTAGGTTTGCTGGACCAATCAGATGAAAGAAGCAAGGCTTTTTGCGAGTCATCACCTGAAATAACAACTTCTGAGAGTGGCATGTCATTTTCAAGGTCTTTACTCTTTATTAATTCGAATATAAATATTTAATCTATTTCACGGTAAATAGGAAGAGATAAAACACACACACAGAGCACAAATACTCCAAAGGCTTCCATAAGATGAAGTTCTATTTCAAATATCCACCCCCAGTACCCCAGCCAGGTAACCTAGCTTTGATTACCTATGCTTAAAAATAGATTCACTTTATTAGTCCATTTTATGGACAAAAGATAGATTGTTAATATTCCATTTTATAGGTTTGCTTTACTATATTTATTAGTCATCTTATTCTCGAATTTTTGTGTCTTCTCATAGTAGGCCTTTTTGTATGAGAACTTAAGTATAGTAACAGTTAAATGTAAAAGAATACGTTGTGTATTAATCTGTGTCAGGGAGTTACAATATATAGAGACCCTAATGGGCTTAAGTGTAAGGCCCAAACCTAATCCAAACCTAATCCTAATACAGTCAGAATACAGTCAGACTATTTACGGATAAGACAGAATCCAATCATATCTAATCAAATCTAATCATATCATATCTAATATTCTAACACTCCCCCTCAAGCTGGTGCGTATATATTATGAGCACCAAGCTTGTTACAAATGTATTCAACCCGAGGACCTCTAAGAGCTTTAGTGAAAACATCTGCTAGTTGATTAGACGAGTTGACAAAAGCTGTCTTGATTTCTCCTGACTGAATCTTTTCCCGAATGAAGTGACAATCAATCTCTATATGTTTGGTCCTCTCATGAAAAACAGGATTAGAGGATATATGTAGCGCAGCTTGATTATCACAGACGAGTGTCATGGGTTGTTTCTGTTCACAAAGATGAAGCTCCTGAATCAACTGCTTTAACCAGATCAACTCACAGGTAGTATTTGCCATTGCACGATACTCAGCTTCTGCACTAGATCGGGAAACAACAGGTTGCTTCTTGCTTTTCCATGAGATTAAGTTTCCTCCGAAGAAGACACAATAACCAGAAGTAGAGCGTCTGTCCGAGGGTGATCCTGCCCAATCGGCATCTGAGTAACCACAAATTTCTGTATTTCCCTGATCCGAATACAACAAACCTTTTCCTGGTGCTCCTTTGATGTATCGGAGGATCCTCACAGCAGCATCCCAATGTGAATCACAAGGGGAATCAAGGAACTGACTGGCCGTACTGACAGCGAAAGAAATATCTGGCCTAGACACAGTAAGATAATTGAGCTTCCCAATCAGCCTTCGATAACGTCCAGGATCAGATAATGGCTCCCCCTGTATGGGCAATAACTTAACATTAGGATCCATGGGTGTATCAACTGGTTTACACCCCAACATACCAGTCTCCTCTAGGATATCCAAGGCATACTTCCTTTGACAGATAGAAATGCCCTGTCTAGATTGCGCCACCTCAATTCCCAAGAAGTAACGCAGCTTCCCAAGGTCTTTTGTTTGAAATGCACTGAATAAATGTTGTTTTAACTGATGGATTCCGTCTTGATCACTTCCGGTGAGGATGATGTCATCAACATAGACTAACAAACAGATGCACTTGTTAGGAGATGTAATCCTATAGAATACAGAATGGTCAACTTTACTGCGAATTAGGCCAAACGCCTGTACAGCAGAACTGAAGCGACTGAACCATGCTCGAGGAGACTGCTTGAGACCATATAAGGATTTTCGAAGACGACATACCTTCCCAGACTCCCCCTGAGCAACAAAACCAGGTGGTTGCTCCATGTAAACTTCTTCTTGTAAATCACCATGAAGAAAGGCATTTTTGATGTTAAGTTGAAGGAGTGGCCAGTGATGAACAGCAGCAAGGGCAAGAAATAGGCGGACGGAAGCCATCTTAGCGACTGGAGAGAATGTATCGCTATAATCAAGGCCAAAGATTTGAGTAAAACCCTTGGCAACTAGGCGTGCCTTGAGACGATCAACATGGCCATCAGGTCCAACTTTCACAGTAAACACCCAGCGACAACCAACTATAGACTTCTCTGGAGGAGCAGAAACAAGGTCCCAAGTGCCATTGGTATGAAGTGCGGTCATCTCATCAAGCATCGCTTGGCGCCATCCTGGATGGGAAAGTGCTTCACCTGTGGTCTTAGGAATAGGAACAGAAGAAAGACTAGAAACAAAGGTGAAATGAGGAGGAGAAATGCGATCATAGCTCAAGAAGGTATAAAGAGGATAAGGGTTACGAGTAGTACGTGTACCTTTTCTTTGAGCAATGGGAAGAGCCTCTGGTGAAGGATCTGGAGGGGAAGAATCAACTGCAGAGGGCAATGAGTCAGCAGGGGTCGAGTCGACTGGAGGTACTGTCTTACGATGCTGATAAGTGAGAAGTGGACGGTCCTTAGGTACTGGAGCAATAGATGATTGCTTATCTGGAGTAGAAGCACCTGCATCTGGCAAAGACAAGTCAAGAAAAGGAACAGGAAGAACATGATCAACCTGTGACAATGGAGATGGGATAGAATTAAAGGGTTGTTGATCAAAAAAGGTGACATCCGCGGAAACTAAGTAACGCTTGAGGTCAGGAGAGTAACACCGATAACCCTTTTGAAGACGAGAATAACCAAGAAAAATGCATTTAAAGGCTTTGGATGTTAACTTATCCTTACCAGGAGTGAGATCATGAACAAAACAGGTACAACCAAAAACATGTGGGGATAGAGGAAAGAGAGGAACATCTGGAAACAATAAGTTATGAGGAATATCATTATTAAGCACAGATGAAGGCATGCGGTTGATGAGAAAGCAAGAAGCAAGGACTGCATCAGCCCAGAAGTGAAGAGGAACATGCATGTGAATAAGAAGAGTCCTGGCAATCTCAATGAGATGTCTATTCTTACGTTCAGCTACTCCATTTTGTTGTGGAGTGTGAGGACAAGTGGTTTGGTGTAAAGTACCCTGTGTGGCTAAGAAGTGAGAAAAGTCAACAGAAACATACTCCTTAGCATTATCACTACGTAAAATACGAATAGAAGCACCAAATTGAGTATGAATTTCAGCAGAAAACTTTTGATAAATAGAAAACAACTCAGAACGGTTTTTCATTAAATAAATCCAAGTACAACGGGAGAAATCATCAATAAAGGTGACAAAATACCGAAAACCTAAAATAGACACTCTACGACTAGGACCCCAAACATCTGAATGAATAATTGAAAAGGGAGCATCAGCTCGTTTATTGACTCGATTAGCAAAGGAGGAGCGTATGTTCTTTCCTTGCTGACATGACTGACAATCTAAAGTTTGAAGACCGGATAAAAGAGGAACCATCTTCTGCAATTTCGCAAGACTAGGATGCCCGAGACGACTGTGGATGAGCTGTGGAGATTCTGTGAGAGAACAAGCAACTGAAGGACTCGGCACATCAAGGTAGAACAGACCTCGTGACTCACGGCCCACTCCAATCATCTTCCCCGTACCCGGGTCCTGCACAGAAACATAATGGTTTGAGAATGTGACAATACAATTAAGAGAATTGATCAATTTACTAACCGATATTAAATTATAAGGGATGTGAGGAATGTAATAGACAGATGTCAAGGTCAATGAGGAGGTTGGACAGATTTGTCCAATCCCATGAACGGGGGCCTTAGTTCCATCAGCAAGAGTAAAAAAGGGTAAATTATTAGAATATGTAAGGGAAGAAAAGAGTTCCTTATTACCACAGAGGTGATCAGTAGCACCTGAGTCAAATATCCAAGGACCAAGTGATGCAGAATGAGAAACACAAGCAACAAGATTACCAGTTTCTGAAGCAGAGGCCTGAGATTGAGGAGAGGACTTCCTGAGAAGGGCCTGGAATGCTGCATATTCTTCAGAGGAGAGAGAGACTGAACCATTTGAAGCAGTATCCGATTGAGCTACATTAGCAGCAAAAGAAGGTCGCATGTGAGGATACTTGGTGTAGCAGCGTTCCTCATAATGACCAAGTTGCTGACAGTAATGACAACGAGGTCGCTGACCACGTCCGACTGGACCTCCTGGGCCTCCTGGGCCACGACCTCCTGGGCTACGTCCTCCTGGGCCTCCTGGGCCTCTACCACGACCACGTCCACCTCCAATATGCCCGCGAAAATCAGTTCGGGAAACTAGAGCAGTAGAATCAACAGCAGAAGACGATGCAGGAGCAAATTTCTTATTCAAATTCAGAAGACGCTGATACGTCATGGATAGATCAGGCTCCCCACTAGTCAAGATAGTATCACGAACATTATCATATTCTTCGGGAAGGCCAGAAAGTGTGGCAACCATAAAGAGACGTTCCACCTGTTTCCGATATGCAGTAGCATCAGTAGGGTAAGGCAGCATATCCAAATATGCCTGCATCAAGCGACTCTTGCCAATATATGTCTCCATCTGAATGTCGGATGATTTGCTCAATTCCATAAACTGAGAGATAATGAAATAGAGCTGCTGAACATCATTAGTGTAGAGGTTTTTTGCTTCCTCCCACACTTCAATGTAAGTTTGAAATGAATAAAAGATATCCAAGACAATCGGATCAATGGATTGCCAGAGGATACTCAGAAGCTGGTTGTCAATCTTTTCCCAATCAGACTTGTCCTCCTTAGGGACATCAGTAGACTTAGTTGTGAGATGGTTCCCATATCCTTGTCCAAAGAACCAAACTCGAACAGAGGTGGCCCAGTTCTTGTAATTAACAGATCCCTTCAATTTTGAAGAGGTAATGGACCCAATATTGGTAGAGATGATATTGGGACAATTTCTCAAAGGAGGAGATGGAGACTTGACCTCCGAATGAATTGGAGGGTTTGCTGCCATAGTATCAAATCACAAAGATACAAACCGAATAAAGAGAAACGAACCTGATCACCAATCAAGAAGAGGTGCGCACAAAAAGTCAGACCCACAAAGAACCAACCACAGATCCAGAAAGAGGAGGAGAAGACGAGCTTCTCTGTCCAAGACCGGCCGGAAAAAGCCGCCAGAATAGTGCTCACGCGCCGGCAGAAGGTGGCGCGTGAAGCCCACGCGCAGAGAAGACTGGAGGCGCGTGAGAGCGCGTGACAACTCCGATGGTGGCCGGACTTCCACAGAGCAGGTCGCCGGGAGGAGAGGGTTCTGTTCGCGTTCGTTCCAGACTGAAAACTCGTCGGAAAAGTACTCCGGCAGCCTGAACAGTGGCTGACGGTGGCTGATGGTGCTCCGGTGACTGTTTGGGGATGTGGACACGTGCAGAAGATGCCTGGAGAGGACTTACAGCCCTTGATGTCTTACCGGAAGGACGCACGGCAAAGAAAAGATGACTCCTAAGCAGTGGGCTTAGGTTTTAAAGCGAAGAACAAGATTTCTAAGCGGAAGCGAGGGTTCCCAGAACGAAATAGCTCTGATACCAAGTTAAATGTAAAAGAATACGTTGTGTATTAATCTGTGTCAGGGAGTTACAATATATAGAGACCCTAATGGGCTTAAGTGTAAGGCCCAAACCTAATCCAAACCTAATCCTAATACAGTTAGAATACAGTCAGACTATTTACGGATAAGACAGAATCCAATCATATCTAATCAAATCTAATCATATCATATCTAATATTCTAACAGTAACTAAAGTAGTTAATATTCTCAACTTTTATTTTCTGGAATATGGTAAAATATTATTCTATTTGAGAGAGTCTTCTCTTTTCCTTATTTTCTGCTGTGTTTGTGTCGAAAGCACCAAATTACTGTGTGCAATTTGTAATCTATATTGTGCACTCGACCTCATACTGTGATGGTACAAGTTGCCAACTTTGGGGTGTTTTTGTTTTCAGTTTGTAAGTTTTCATTAATAATTACAAAAATGTTACTTTGTTTCATTCTGTTTTCTGTTTACAAAATTTGTGAAGGAAATGGTAAAAACAACATTTTGGTCTTTTTACTATTTCCTTTACAAATCTTTGAAAACGTGAAACAAAATAAAAACAAGATATGGTACCATTTGTAATTATAAATGAAAACATATAAACGGAAAATAAAAATATAAAACAAACTAAACACCACCTTATGTCTCTTGCTAGCATGATGACATATTCAGTTATTTTCTGCTTCGTTATTTCTATCTAGTCTGCATGTGAATGGTTTTCAATTCTTTTTGTTTGTATAGGTACACTCCCTCAATGCCTAGGAGACAGCTGTTTGGAGACATGCAAAGAGAGCGCTTCCTTGAAAGTGATCATATTCTCTATTCTGAGCATGGGGATTCATTCAGCTGCTCCAACTTTGTTGACCTGGATTGGCTATCTTCTTCAGGAAATTCATGTGAAGAAGACCCATGCGAGAGGTAATACTGCATTGTCTTCCAGTGAAGCAATTACAGTGCCTGTCAAGATTCTTTACTGGCAAGAATATTTTATAGGGAGAGTTACATAAGCAACAAGACAGGGTAGGGATGAGAAAATGAGGAATATAAGAATTACAAATTTGGGGTGTGAATATTGTTTTCTGAGATGTATGATGTACTTATGACAGCACATCTTTGATGGTCTCCGAAGTGGCCTTACCTCCTTTCCTTATTCCTAGTAATACATTCTAGAATATCTCCAAAAAATATTTTTTAAAGGCGTATTTATACTGAATGCAGGTCATCTATAACCAACTCTCCGATTGCTTGGCTTTCTTCAGAAAATGTTGTTGATGGAGTTATGGGAGGAGATGCAACTCCCTCCACTAGTGATTTGGGCTCCAAACTTAAGGTAGCACCCCCTTTGACACAGTATCTGTAAAGGACATGTCATTTTGGTTGTGTGTCCAATTCATTTATTTTTTTGATTTCGAAATGGAGGGACACAACTCCGACATAGCCATTTAAAATTTGAATCTCTTTTTTGTTGTTCTTATACATGGCTAGACTTAAAAGTAAGAAGGTATATTGTATTCAATTGTGTATTAATCTAATACAAAGAGCTACAATATATAGAGACCCTAATGGGCTTCAGTGAGAAGCCCAAAATATTTACAGATAGGAAGTAATCTATTCAAATCAAATCTAATCATATCTAATATTTATAACACTCCCCCTCAAGCTGGTGCATATATATCATAAGCTCCCAGCTTGTTACATATATGATCTATTCGGGGACCTCTAAGAGCCTTGGTGAAAACATCTGCAAGTTGATCACTGGAATTGACAAATGCTGTCTCAATCTCTCCTGACTGAATCTTCTCTCTAATAAAGTGACAGTCAATTTCTATATGTTTGATCCTCTCATGAAAGACTGGGTTAGAGGATATATGCAATGTTGCTTGATTGTCACAAATGAGCTTCATGGGCTGCTGTTGACAGAGATGTAGTTCCATAAGCAATTGTTTTAGGCAGATGAGCTCACAGGTTGCATTTTTCATTGCCCGATATTCTGCCTCTGCACTTGACCTTGCGACCACAGTTTGTTTCTTACTCTTCCAAGATATCAAGTTTCCTCCAAGAAGAACACAATACCCTGAGGTGGATCGTCTGTCTGAAGGATAACCTGCCCAGTTAGCATCTGAATAGCTAGATACATTTGCATTCCCTTTATTTGTGTATAATAAATCTCTTCCTGGTGCTCTTTTGATATACCGAAGAATCCTGATAACTGCATCCCAATGGGAGTCACAAGGAGAGTCAAGGAATTGACTTGTCACACTAACTGCAAAAGAGATGTCTGGTCTTGTCACTGTAAGATAGTTCAACTTTCCAACTAATCGGCGATAACGACCAGGGTCTGCTAATGGCTCCCCCTGTCCGGGTAACAGCTTAACATTAGGATCCATAGGTGTATCAATAGGTTTACATCCCAACATACCAGTCTCATCTAGGATATCTAGTGCATACTTCCTCTGACAAATGGAAATACCCTGCCTAGACTGTGCCACTTCGATCCCTAAGAAAAATATCGAAGTCTGTCAAGATCTTTGGTCTGAAACTGATTGAATAAGTATTTCTTTAATTGATCAATCCCAACTTGATCGTTGCCAGTAATAATGATGTCATCAACATAGACTAGGAGATAGATGCACTGGCCAGAAGAGCTATGCCTATAGAAGACAGAATGGTCAACTTTACTTCTGGTTAAGCCAAAGGATTCAACAGCAGAACTGAAGCGACTAAACCAAGCCCAAGGAGACTGCTTCAGACCGTATAAAGATTTACGAAGCTTACATACCATTCCAGAATTCTCCCCCTGAGCAACAAAACCTGGTGGTTGCTCCATATATACTTCCTCTTGCAAGTCACCATGTAAGAAAGCATTTTTGATATCAAGCTGTAGAAGGGGCCATTGATGAATGGCAGCAAGTGCAAGAAATAGGCGAACAGTTGCCATCTTGGCGACTGGGAAAAAAATATCCCCATAGTCAAGACCAAATATTTGAGTGTAGCACTGACCAGGAATAGGCGAACAGATGCACTGGCCAGAAATAGGCGAACGCTTGAGATCAAGAGAGTAGCAACGATACCCCTTTTGAAAACGAGTGTATCCAAAGAAAACACACTTGAAGGCTTTGGATGTTAACTTATCTTTTCCTAGAGTAAGATCATGAACAAAGCAGGTACATCCAAATACATGTGGAGGTAGAGGATAGGAAGGTGCTCCTGGAAATAAAACACTGTGGAACTTCATTATTGAGTACGGAAGAGGGCATACGATTGATACGATTGATGAGAAAGCAAGAAGTGATTATAGCATCTGCCCAAAAACGGAATGGAACATTCATATGAATTAGTAGGTGTAGAATATTCTAGAGTTTCTTTTTAGAGTCTAGTCTCTTTGATTAGTGTGATGCCTCTTCGTTTGTTGTGTACTTTTATTTATTTTTATTTATTTCTTCAACTCCTTAACTACCTTGTAATCTGTATATATAGAACCCTTTGGGTGTCAATCAATATATGAAAAACATTTCTGGCTTATATTTCATCATGGTATATAGAGCAGGTTATCCTGTGGAGTTTATAAGGCCTTGTAGCTAGCTTTTGCCAGGTTCGTATCAGGTTATCCTGTGGTTTTTAAACCTCCACGTTTTTTCTTTTTTTCTTTTCACTGTTCGTCTTCTATAACCCAGATCTCATATCTGGACCGCTCCAATCACGAAACCAAGGCCACCACTGGACTCAGAAGCCATTTCCGAGTCGACCCACGTCAGCCCCGTCGCCAGAAAGTCAGCCACGCGCCGCCACAGCAGAGCAGCCTCTCCGGCGCGTGTGAGCCACGCACCGCCCTGCCGGTCTCCGTTTGACACGCGGCTTTCACAGAACAGCTCGCCTGGCCTCCCTCTTCCTGTTCTGAGGGTTTAAATCACGATTGGAGCACTTTTTTTTTGCTGGGTCTTGTTGTTTCCTCTTCGTCAAGCTCGTGAAGCTTTGTTCTGAACGTTTTTTTTACAATGGAAGATGAAAGTAATGAGGCTGAGAATAAGCATTATGACAAATCACCCGGTGGAGTTTCCGGTGTCTCTCCTCCTCCCTATTTTTCGTCTTCCGGAGACAACCCAGCTATACAGATTACAAACCACCGTTTAAACGGTAAGAATTATGTGCAATGGCATCAATCTGTCAAGTTGTTTATCCAAGCAAAAGGGAAAATGGGGTATCTTGATGGAAAAAAGGAAAAACCCGAAGCTGATGAACCTGATTATGATAAATGGATGACTGAAAATGCCTTGGTCATGACCTGGTTAACTAACTCCATGGATCCTGATATCAGTCAAACTTATTTGTTTCTTGATACGGCTCAGGAAATTTGGGATGCCGTTAAAGAATATTATTCTGACCTGGGCAATGCTTCTCAGGCTTTTGAACTCAACACCAAGGTAAGAGAGTTACATCAAGAGGGGATGTCTGTCACTGAATACTTTCTTGCTTTAAAAACTCTGTGGCAGGAGTTGGATCTTTATGATGCAGCAGATCTTCAAGGTTTAGAAGCTAATGCAAGGTTTAAGAGTTACTTAGAGAAAAGACGTCTCTATGATTTTCTTGCTGGCCTTAATCGTGATCTTGATGATGTTCGTGGTAGGATATTGGGTCAGAACCCATTACCTTCCATTGCAGCTGCTTTTTCTATGGTACGACGGGAGGAACTTCGCCGAAAGGTAATGTTGGGAGACAAGAACTCTAAATCCTCCGATGTATCTGCCTTAGTAGCAAAACATAATCCTCGTCCCCCTGGTGATACAAAACGTTCTGACCGTTTTGATCGATGGTGTTCTCATTGCAATAAGAGTGGTCACACTCGCGAAAAATGTTGGGAAATTCATGGAAAACCACCAAACTGGAAAACAAAGGGGCTGAACAAGAGTCGTGCTTATCAAATCTCTTCTGATGATAAGGGTGAGGAGTCTCGTGCCTCTCCAAATTCCGATGGTGTATTCATCCCTAAAGCTCAGTATGAGCAATTTCAGAAGGTGATGTCTCAATCTGCTGAGGCAACTAGCCATGTTGCTCAACAAGGTATGGCATTCCATGTTGATCGTAGTAGTCGTTGGATTCTTGATTCTGGAGCTTCTGATCATATGACAGGTAATGCAACCTTGTTCTGTTCTTATACCCCTTATTATCACCAGTCACGGATAAGGACTGCTGATGGTAGTTTCTCTAATATTGCGGGAAAGGGATCCATTAAGCTCTCTGAACATATTACTCTGAATTCTGTCCTTCATGTCCCTTCTCTTACTTGTAACCTTATTTCTATTAGTAAACTTTCCTCTGAATTGCATTGTGTTGCTAAATTCTCTGCCAAAACCTGTGTTTTTCAGGAACAGGATTCGGGGCTGATGATTGGCAGTGCTAGAGAGGAAGAAGGGCTTTACTATTTTGAAGAAGATTCTCATGAAAAGAGATTTTTTGCAAATCACTCTTTATGTTTATCAGATGATTGTAATGATGTTTTGTTGTGGCATCGTCGTTTAGGACACCCAAATTTCTTTTATCTTCAAAAGTTGTTTCCAAACTTATTTATCAATAAAAAACGAAGTTCTTTTTGTTGTGATGATTGTCAATTTGCAAAACACTTTCGTGTTTCTTATTCCCCCAGAGATTATCATGTTTCGTCTCCATTTACATTGATTCATAGTGATATTTGGGGAGCAGCTCGTGAAAAAAATATATCTGGAGCTCGTTGGTTTATTACCTTCATTGATGATCATTCCAGAGTATGCTGGGTATATCTTCTAAAGGATAAGTCTGAATCTGCAGCCACTTTTAAAAACTTTCATGCTATGGTACAAACTCAATTCCAGACTTCTATCCAAATCCTGCGAACTGACAACGGTACTGAATATTTCAATTCTGTTCTTGGTGATTACCTAACCAAGCAAGGTATTATCCATCAAAGTTCTTGTCCTAACACCCCTCAACAAAATGGGGTGGCTGAAAGAAAAAATAGACATCTCATTGAAGTTGCTAGAGCCCTCTTGTTTACAATGCATGTCCCTAAATACCTATGGGGGGATGCTGTCTTGACTGCCTCATATCTCATCAATCGAATGCCCTCTCGTGTCCTGAATTTTCATTCTCCCATATCTTGCCTTACCCGCTCTTTTCCCTCCTTTTGGGCTCTATCTTACCTTCCTCCAAAATTGTTTGGCTGTGTGGTTTTTGTTCATATTCCTCCACATCAAAGGTCCAAACTTGATCCTAAGTCTGTTAAATGTGTCTTCATAGGATATCCTCCTAATCAAAAAGGTTACAAGTGCTACTCACCTTCTCTTCGAAAGGTCTTTG